TTACCCATTTTAATCGTTTTTTCTGCAATCTTTGATAAACTTGAACCATTTTTAACATTATTTATCTCCTCTTTAACATACTTTAACCATTTTCGACCATTTCGTTAACCATTTAACCATTATGAGCCATTCGTTTTTTCGAGTAATGTTAAAATCTTCTTTGTCTTATTTCTGAGATGAGAACATCATTTTTCCGTTTTCCATCAATTTTTTTTTCTTTTCTTTTTTAATTTAAAATCTCACGACTACCCTAACTACTGTCTGCTTCACGCAAGGAAGAAGCGAATACCGCGCCGGTTGGAAAAGGAATTCTTGAAGAATAACATGTAACGCACATACACGGGCACACACACACGCACATACACGGGCACACATACACGCACACAATAAGCGGTAATCTTATTATAAAGTAAAAAAAAAAAACGACGTAACACGTTTCGAACTTTTGAAGAATGCTGTATATGTAACACGCAAAACAGACACCTCACACACAGACACACCTCACTCTCTCACTCACATACAAACACACAAATATATATATATATATATATATATATATAAATGGACAATGTCCGACAATTGTTTTAAGACATTTTTATGTTTATACATTCTTTTTATACTTTTTAGACTTTGCCCATTTCATAATGTGTGACGTCATTTGTTTACATTTGGATACGCCATGAGCAAATATGAATGTACGCGAGAAAATCATGGAAGATTGTAGTTTAAAGACAGTAAAATCGAGCTGGCTAACCGAACGCTCCTCTGTGGCCCAATCGGTTAAAGGCACGTCAGGTTATAAAACGGTTCCGTATAGGATACAGGTTCGATTCCTGTCGGAGAACGAATATTTTCTGTGAAAATTTCTCAGATATTCAGGCGGTAAATCTTGTTTAATACTGTTTATTATAAACAGAGCATTTACTCAAATATTTGTATCTATAAAAAGAATGTATAAACATAAAAATGTCTTTATATATAATGAGTACAGAATACTTAAAGATCCAGATAGATTTTGTACTAATTATTATTATATTGCTCTGTTCTTACCATTGAGCTCCTTTTGGATAAATGTCCTCCTTGGAATTATCACTGCTAATTATCAATTGATACACATACAAACACACACACACACACACATATATATATATATATATATATATATATATATATTTGTATATATCTGTATTACTGTTTTCTGTCTCCTCTTTCTTTTTCATTTTTCCTTTTTCTTTTCTCCTTACTCCCCTCATTTCTATATATCATTTCCGTTAAGTTAACCATCTAAATTGGTCAAGGTCTGGTCACTCCTCCTACCCCAATATAAAGTACACTTGAGAGATATGGAATTAACCCCTCCTATATACTCTACCATGTCTCTTTTTAACTATACCTCTCACAGGCCCTCATGATCCGGCGTCCTTTTTAAAAGGACTCTGGTGAAATAAATTATTATAATGGTACCTTAAAAATTGGTCTGTTTTTCTTTTAAATATATATATATATATATATATATATATATATATATATATATATATATATATATAGCATAGTGAAGAAGCCATGTATACTTTCTTAATATGTATATATAGAAAAAGTTACAAATTAAAAAAATAATAATATTGTTTTCTGAAAGTATTTATTTATATTTGATATTTCAGATCGACCTCGATCTTTCTTCAGAAATTTCTTCAAGAAAGATCGAGGTCGATCTGAAATATCAAATATAAATAAATACTTTCAGAAAACAACATTATTATTTTTTTATATTCTTTTATATTGACATACGCTCTATCTCTAATATTGAACACTTTAGTCTCTCTGCTTGGTGTTGATCTCAGTGTTCACGGTTATATTTTAACGTTTCCATCCGTTCTATCTCTTCTAACGCCTCTAAAGCGAACCTCTATTAATCACTAAACACATCTCTTCAGGCCTCTAATCAGCATTAATATTAGATGCTATGTGTTTAGATATTTAGACGTTATGTGTTTAGATGTCACGTGTTTATGCCTGATATTAACCTCCTGGAGAGAGTAACACTTTGCGCCTTCTCGAGGTAATATTCTCGGCTTATTACTGGGTCTGCTGCTACGAAAGTCGACTCTGTCGACCTAGACCAGTGATTCCCAACGGATTTGGGGTCATGACCCACTTTCATATTACTAAAATTCTGGTGCCCACCTATCTAATATTTAAAAAAATACAAAGACAGTTAAATATATATATATATATATATATATATATATATATATATATATATATTAAAATCAATTGATTTAAAATATGTTTTTCGCTACACAGTTCTAACCATGTTTCAAAAATGGAAGCTAAAAGCCCCGAATTTAATTTTGTAATTAAATTAAAGACATTAGTTTCATTTCATCCTCAAGAAAAATTCGCTTGAGGATGAAATGGAACAAATGTCTTTAATTTAATTACAAAATTAAATTCGACTTTTAGTTTTATTTTTGGAAACATGGTTAGAACTGTATATTTTTAAAAATGTATATTTTAAATCAGTTAATTTATAATATTAATGCTTTGTAAATTTACATTGAGCCCTATTTTGTAAAAATAAAAATATCTATAGGAACGCCGGATTATATATCTTACTGTTCTTTCTTTCTTTCTATATATATATATATATATAACTGTCTTTGTATTTATTCAAATTTATATATATATATATATATATATATATATATTTAACTGTCTTTGTATTATTCAAATTTATATATATATATATATATATATATATATATATATATATATATATATAAAAAAATTCAATTCAGTCACTTACGTGCTAATAGCCTTGGGAAATGTGTGAATCCTGTTCTGCTCCCTCCAGCTATGGGTAAATAGCAGGACAGACTGGTTCTATAGCCTTGGATGGCAACTGGTCTAGGAGAAGGACAACTCTGAATTCAAAACCTGCGGAGGGTCGTTTGGGGACCTTGTGGCATTCAGTGCACCAGGTCTCTGTATTCGTCCCTTCAAAAAGTGTGGATGGTCCTGCACGAAACCTTCACCACTATAATCAAATCTCATGTGCCGGTGTCAGGCTGTCGGTTTCCTAGGAACTGATCTGCTTCTCCCTCATACGTCGAATTCGACATTTGGATCGACTGTATATATATATATATATATATATATATATATATATATATATATATTTCGTAAAATATATCTATGACATGCTTGGGCAAAATACATCATCAGTGATGTTTCCAGCCGAGGTTCATTAAAGGGTTTGGAGTTCTTTCATACTGATCGGGTATGGACTTGTGTACCTTCCATTAGATATAGTTTTTTTCCATAAACACACTAAAGAACTGGAGGGCAGAAATATAAAATATTTGAATGAAAGCTTATTCTGTAATATACTTTTATCGTTTTAATCATTAAATAATAAAGCAAAGTGAAATTTGAGTTCACTAGAGATCAATTCACTGTTTATAACTCATTCTCCAATTGCCCTTCTTATTCTGTTGGTATAGTAAGCCAAGGGTGCACATCCTACGCATGCCCCACCGAAAATATTGGGTCATGGTAATATTTTGTTTTTCTGTACATTTTCTTTTCCTTAAACTTGTCTTTGTTGGTTCCAAGATTTGTTTTGGAACTGGCACATCAAAAATGTCATAGAGCATTTTAACCGGTTCTTCAGGTCTTTCGTAAGTTAATCTTTTCTTCAGCTGATTTTGGTACCTTCAATGTTGTTTTTTTTTCCCCTTTCACCATGTAGACCAATTTTTTTTCTCATTTTTCAAATTTACGAACGCTCATAAATATTCATCAGGTTAGTCGAAAAGTCTAGGCAAGTTATGGAGGACAGCAAATGTCCCAATTCAGTATCTAATAAACGAATGTGCGTAAATGATGTCCAATTTTTTTAAAATGCAAATTAGTATTTTAATTATTTTAGTTTCGGATTAATTCATGTGTTATATATTTTACATAGCATGAGTCTATGAAATTAAGTGTTTTCTTTTAATATTCTTAACGTTTTTATAGTTATATATGATGACTTGATGAAAGAGTAATTCTTTCAGAAATGGGGATATTTGAAAAAACCCGGGGCGCAAATTTATAGATTTGATAATAGCACTCTCGAGAATTTACCGTTTTTCTCGTTTAATAGGTGTGGCATTCTTTAGATTAAAATTTGTCATTGAATTTATTTATTTCTGATTTATTTAATAAATAGTTGCGTATAAGATCTTTTTTTGTGTTCATAGATACGTTTTTGTTTTTTTTTTAAATTTCTACAAGTTTCACCAATGTATTTTGAAGGGCAGTCATGGCGATGTATTTTAGATACATTCAGAATGATTACTGTTATGGATATTTTTCGCTTTGATCGTATAAATGAAAATAATTACAATGACATCGAAATCTATTTGCCTTGAGCTTCTTTAAGAATTCAACGGATTTTATTTTTTTGAACCGACATATTTTTATTAACTTAAAGGCCGTTTTTAGTGGACACCCGTATTTGTGTAGACGAACCGTATAATTTTTAAACAGGATATATTCTCGTCTGGACATTTGGAAAAAAAACACCTTAAGATAAATGAAATATGCCACCAGCGTGATTCGAAGCTGCGAAAATAAACACTGCTTAAAAGTGGAGGGTCTACTCAAATACGGGTAGTCACTTAAAATAACGTTTGAAGCAATAAAAATAGGACTTATTATATATATATATATATATATATATATATATATATATATATATATATATATATATGTCTATCTGATAGATATTATTATCTGATGTTTCTTGAAATTGAAAAATATTTTTGCGAAAAAAAAAGTTCCTCAATAGATAAATTGTACCTTTCTACATATTTTTTCTTTCTTCTCTTTTTTTTCAACTATATGGGACTGTTTTGTCTTCCGAACTCTGGTTTACCTGGCCATAAAACTTCTTTCTGTCTATGGTGCACAAAAAGGTTGATAAATAGATAGATGTTATCATTCAATGAACAGACTGAGATAGATAGATAGATAGATAAATAGATAGATAGAAAAATAGATAGATAAATGAATACTGAACAGAGATAGATAGACAGACACACACACATATATATAAAGAAGATGATAGCTATCAACAGAGACACACACATATATATATATATATATATATATAGATATATAGATAGATATAAATAATAGAAAGATAGATAGATAATTAATGAAAATTACGCAGATAGATAGAGACAGATATAATTCTAAAGAAAAAAGGGAGAGAGAGAATAATTGATAGGTAGTTATGATCATACTTAACAGATATATATATATATATATATATATATATATATATATATGAACAGATGTTGTAGATATATAGATAGATAGATAATGATAGATGTCTAGATATAGATAGATAGATTAAGATAAATGAATATGAGAAGACTGTGATAGATACAGAGATAGATAAACAGATATTAACAGACTGAGACAAATAGATATGAACAGAGACATATAGAGATATAGATATGAACAGATCGAGATAGATATGAACAGACTGAGACAGACATACACATAGATAGATAGATAGATAGATAGATAGATAGATAGATAGATAGACAGACAGACAAAAAGATCTCTGAATTCAAAATAAATATTCTGTTAATACTTGTTGCTTCTTACATGAATCATTGATTTCCCTCCAACCAAAAACAAATTCCGTGAACCAGATAGATCCACCCAAATACTTACAGATAAAAAAATCCGGAAAAAGAAATCACAAATTAAAAATTATTTCCCCCTTCAAAACAAAACAACACTAAATCTGTAGAAAAGAACGATATAAAATACAGTTTAATTCAAAAAAAGAAACGTGAAAATACCTAAAAATGAAGTTTAAAAAACAGCAAACACATTGACAAGAATAAAAGCTTTAAAAATTTAAGAAAAAGATAAAAGGAAAAAAAAAAAATGTCGCCTAATCAAGAATCGAATATCTTTTCAAATCTGTGCATTGAAAAATTTTGCGTGAATATATGACGAGGGTCGCAAGTTTAGAAGAACACAACAGATAGGGTTTAATTCCCGACAATTTTAACGTTTTATGATGGCTCGCAAAATTAGCTGTATACACGTATCTGTCTTTAAAGTCTCTCTTTATCACGTTCGCTTTTCTATTCAGTGTCTATATGTATACGCATGCGTGTGCAACTGCGTACATGGGTACTGTTGTGTGCCTACGTAAACAGAAGCATTCACTGGCTGTTGACGAAGTGGGAGGAGGGATTGTGCGGGGGAGAAAGGATTAGATGGCAGAGGGAGGCTTTGATGACGCCAGAACAATTAACGAAGACGCAAGCATGCGATTGGTCGGTGATTGGAAATTGGCGCGCAAAGGCGAGGGTCGTCGATAAAAGACTAAGGAACAAACAGGAAACGCTTTTGAGAGAACCAAATGCAAAGGGGCGCAAGAAATAACGGTGGAATATGGAGTCCGGGGATAAGGAGAGTAAGGAGTGTTGGGGAGCTTGAAAAATAAAATAAAAAGGAGAGCACGGATAGGTATTGTATGCAACAAAATATGTTACAGGTAGTATTATTGTAAGAGAAAGAAGCAGAAAAAGAGGGGGATATATATAGGGAGAAAAAAGACAAAGAAAAAAAAATTGGTAAAGAGAAAAGTTGAAAGAAGGAAAAAGAAAGAGAGAAAGCAAGAGAAAGATCTAGGGAAAGATATCCAAATTGAGAGCGAGAGAAGCAAAAAGAACCAGAGAGAAAAAGAAAATAAGAAAAAGAGAAAGGGAGTGAGAGAGAGAGAGAGAGAGAGTAAGAGAGAGAGAGAGTATGTATCATAGAAAAAAAAAGAAAAAAAAAGTAAAGCCAGAGAGAAAAAAAGGAGAGATTTAAAGATCCACATTAAAGGTAAATAGAAAAATTTATGAAAGCGATAAAATAGACAAAGAGGGTGACAAATAAGGATAAAGAGAGGGAAAACAAAGAGAGACAGAGAAAGAGAAAGAACTGCTTAGAGAGAATAAATAAATAGAAAAAAACTGAGATAGATAGGCAGACATATATATATATATATATATATATATATATAGAGAGAAGAGAGAGATAGATAGATAGATAGATAGATAGATAGATAGATAGATAGATAGATATATGCGGATTTGATAGAATATATATATATATATATATATATATATATATATATATATGAACATCGACAGATAATGTTTTAAACGGAACGCTGATCTTATAAAAAAAAAAATAGTTATCTGTTTGGATAAGTCTTGTTCTTATGTACATCGTCTTTTTTTTGTCATGTTGAATTGATAATGTTAATTATATTTTTGAATATGTCCTGAAGATGGTTTATTAGACCGAAACGTCCGACGTTTACATTATATTAACATTAAAACAGCATAATTGTATATAAGGATTTTTGTTTGTTTTTCCGTATATTTTTTTCATATACTGTCGGATCTATATCCATATATTTGCTTATATATATATATATATATATATATATATATATATATATATATATATATATTTGAGAGAGAGAGATAGATATAGATAGATAGATGTATGCGGAGACTGAGATATATATATATATATAACCTCCCAATATGCACGTTAAAGTAACGCGAACTGACAGCGTCTAAGAATTTGAATGAAACCTGTCGTGTAATTTATTGGGGTTGTTGTAACGTCTTCCTTTAATGTAGTTCTTATCGCTCACCCCATAACCACCTTTATCTAGAGACGAGACGCGTTAAATTTGAGCAACATCCAGCCGACACACTGGGGTTAAAATAGGAAACTAAAATGATACATATGACACACTCATATCCTCTCTCCCACCTCACTTCCTCACTTCGTTAATTTTGCGTATACTTGATGAGGTCCGTAAAAAACGTGTGAATTTCTTTTCATTTTTCATTTCAGCTTTTGGAAGTAAAAGTCTGATGATCCAGAACCCTTTTAAAGGGGTTATGGTGAAATAACTTATTACATGGAATCTTAACGTGGTCTGTCTTTTATTCAAATATATATATATATATATATATATATATATATATATATATCCAAGGTCACATCGACAGGTAATGAACAGATTGATATATATATATATATATATATATATATATATATATATTTCGTTACATAAATAGATAATGAACAAACTGAGATAGATTGGCAGATATATATATATATATATATATATATATATATATATATATATATATATATAGATAGATAGATAGATAGATAATATTTAGATGCGGAGGAGACATATATATATATATATATATATATATATAGATATATAGATAGATATATATGTAGATATATATATAAATATATATATATATATATATATATATATATACAGAAAAGAAAAGAGGCAAGCAAGAAAATGGACGAATGGTAGATTTGTAAATGTGCAAGATTCCGAGGAGAAAAAAAACGTGATCTCAATGGAGAAAGCGATACAGAGTCCAGTCCTGACTATCTCTGATAGAAATCAGTTAGCATAAAGACTATGACTGGGTTGAGTATTCTAAGCCGCATACCTAACAGAGGTCGATCTCCCTGTGTTAATTACTTAGTTCCTAAGTCAGTTTGCACGACGATTAAGCCCTACCAGTACTTCATAAATAATGAACTATTCAGTTTTGACCGCGTGAAAAACAAAGACAGGACATATCAGAGACGCTACTTGGTTTTAGTGACAAAAGGAAAGTAAGGAAGAAAGATAACTTCTTTTATTTAGTTCCATAGTTAGTGCGCACGACCATTACGCCCTGCCAATACGCATAAGTAATAGACTATTTCGTTTTGACCGCATGAAAACAGAAATTACACATCAGAGGGAGAAAGAAAGGTAGGAAATAAAATAAAGAAACAAAGGAAGGCAGGAAGAGTGGAAGGAAGTTAAGGTATAAAGGGAAAGAAAAGAAAGAGGGAAGAGTATACAAGATTGATGACAAAAGCGACTAAAGATGAAATCGAAGAAGCATACAAGAAAGAAAACAGGAAGGAAGGAAGGAAGGAATAAATGGAAGGAAAAGCCAAAGAAACAAGGGAAAAGAAGAAAAGACAGTTATATACCGTATATAAACAGTAATGGGTATGTCCCAATCCTTATAAATACATTCGGACACTATTGTAAGTGGGGGTAATTTGATGTCTAAGTAGTCCACCGCTAAACGTGGTTTACCTACTACACGCCGCTGGCGAGTATTGTATTTTGTTGATGTTATAAAGATTACTATTTCATTTCCAACCTCCGTATTTTAGTTATTCTTCATTCAGTAACCCTTTCTAGGTTACATGAGAAAAAACAAAAGAAAAAAGAAATGAAATACGAAAGAAAAAAGTTACCACGAGAGATAAATAAGCAATCTAATAAAAAGAAATATCTGATGAAAGAAAGAAGGCAAATAAGGGTTGATAAGCCATAAAAACGAATACATCAATCAATGTGTGATATACCGTGCCTATTAAGACTAAGGTGTATGTCCCAATCGTCATAAATACGTAGGGCACTATTGTAAGTGGGGGTAATATGTTGTCTAAATAGTCCACCATTGGCAGTGGTTTACCAACTACACGCCGCTGGCGAGTATTGTATTTTGTTGATGTTATAAAGATTACCATTTCATTTCCAACCTCAATTTGGGTTATTTTTAATTCAAATAACCTTTTTCTAGGTTACAACAAAGACATATAACAAACGTAAGAAAGAAAGAAAGAAAGAAAGAAAGAAAGAAAGAAAAACACGACAAAAGGAAACGAAAGACAAAAAAAAAGAAAGAAAGATGAAAAAAAAAGACCCGACAGAAGAAAGAAAGAAATAAAGAAAGAAAGAAAGAAAAAAAAAGAAAGAAAAAAGACCCGACAGAAGAAATATAAGAAAAAAAAGAAAGACCCAAGAAGAAAAAGAAAGAAAGAAAAGAAAGAAAAAAAGAATGAAAAAAAAGAAAGAAAGAAAGAAAGAAAGAAAAAATATACGACAAAAGAAAGAAGCAAACAAACAAAGAAAGAATGAAAAAAGAAAGAAAACCCGGCAAAGAAAGAAAGAAAGAAAGACCCGACAGAAGAAAGAAAGAAAGACACGACAAAAGAAAGAAAGAAAGAAAGACCCAACAGAAGAAAGAAAGATAGAAAGACACGACAAATAAAAGAAAGTCACGACAAAAGAAAGAAAGAAAGATACGACAAAATAAAGAAAGAAGGAAAGAAAGAAAGAAAGAAAGAAAGAAAGAGAGAAAGACACGACAAAAGAAAGAAAGAAAGAAAGAAAGAAAGAATGAAAGAAAGAATGAAATAAAGACCCGACAGAAGGAAGAAAGAAAGACACGACAAAAAAAGAAAGAAAGAAAGAAAGACACGACAAAAGAAAGAAAGAAAGAAAGATCCGACAGAAGAAAGGAAGATAGAAAGACACGACAAAACAAAGAAAGACACGACAAAACAAAGCAAGATAGAAAGAAAGAAAGAAAGACCCGACAGAAGAAAAAAAGAAAGAAAGAAAGAAAGGATGACACGACAGAAGAAAGAAAAATAAATTAATTGCACCGGAAATAGCGAAAGCAAGCAAGAAATGAAGGAAAGAAGCAAGGAAGGAAGGAAATAGAAGGAGAAAACATAAACAGAAGAATGGAAAAAAAGAAAGTCATAGCAAAAGGAAGAAAACAAGCAAGAAAGAACGAAAATACGTGAAAGAAAATAATTAAATAAAATCCGGTTTAGAAGAGCGAAAGAAAATGAAGAAGATAAAGAAAGAAAGAAAGAAAGAAAGAAAGAAAGAAAGAATAAGCACGAATAGAATAAAAAAAGAAATAAAGTAGAAATGAAAGGAAGGGAGTAAATAACGAACAATGAAATGAAAGCAGAAGAAAAAGAAAGAAATTGAATCACAGAAAGAAAGAAAGAAAGAAAGAAAGAAAGAAAGAAAGAAAGAATGAAAGAAAGAAAAAAAAAGAAAGAAAATTATTCATTTAAATCGAGAGAGGGGGAGAAACATGAAAGAACGAAGACACCCGATGAAAGTTGTCTTAGCAAAGCCAGCAACTGATCGGTATCAACTAATTGAGCCGCCGCTCAACAGAAGAAACGTGCGATGTTGATTCGAGCAGCGCAAACAATTTAAGTAGTTTTAATGACGGCTCAAGACAATCCTCGTTAGGATCCACAAAGCTGTGTGATGGGCCGTTTATCGGATCAACATCACCAAATGAACTCTTAACAAGACGAGGAAAATCATAAGAGAAAAGCGATATCGAGCAGTTCACAAGAGAAAGGAAACAGTAACCGTTATTGAAATCTAAAAAGGAATCCCTGAATTTTAAAGACTGGTAATACGATTATATATTTAGAGACTCTTGGTAAAATCCAAAGTAGAATCAGCAATAATATTGGTTCTGTCCTGGCATCTCGTCTACAGTCATTTCACCATCATCGTAATATAGCTCCTCTGTGCCTTTTCTATAAATACTTTCATGGTAATTGTTCTGAGGAATTTTCCACTATGGTACATATTGGAACTAGTCAGGACTTCATAGAGACCTGGAGGTATTATGGTGACTGTAGCAAGAATGGTAAGTAAGAATGTGTTGTTAGGACTCCATAGAGACTTTTGTATTAAGGAAATAAATATTACTGCCTTCTTTGATGCATATGGGAATAAGGACTTCATAGAGACTTTGAGGTATTATGGTGTCTGTAGTGAGAATGGTAAGTAAAAATGTGTTCTTTTGTTGTAAGGAATACCGTGGAATGTTTGGGTCAGTAATTGTGGCTAGATGGTATTTATCAATGGCTAGATTGTTTAAGATTGAAGATTGAATACCAGCCTTCCCCTATCTCCCACTTTGCCTTGTGCCATATTTTTGTATTCTCAAAATAAATATTAATTTTTTTACCTACACTTTAAGAAATTAAACGCAGTACTTGATTGTCGGCAAGGTCTCATCCTTTTACGGTTGAACTGGTTAGATGTACCCGTAATTTCTATGCTAATAGTTTCTTTACTCGCACTACTTGCCTGTGAAACTCTCTTCCGCCTTCATCATTTCCAACCAACTTTTACCTTCAAATATGTAAATAAAATGTCAATCGTTATCTACTGTTTTCTTAATTCTGCTTCTTTTATTGTTCTCTTTGATTTGCATCGATAAACATTCACTTGGAAAGTCCCCACTTTTTTGTTGGGGTGCGCGGATGCAGTCAGAGTCAACAAGAATAGAAGAACGTTACATTTTTAACGTATATTTCAGTCAAGAGAGGGCAGGAGGACAACGAATAAATGACTGATGGATCTAATCCGGTTCTAAGGAGAAGCAGATGCCATAAAGTGTAATAATAACGCGCCAAAACATTGAAAGCCAAGACAGGCAACCAGGCAAAGGGACAAGTCAGGACCTACTCTGTGTGTGTGTGTGTGTGTGTGTGTGTGTGTGTGTGTGTGTGTGTGTGTGTGTGTGCGTGTGTGTACGTATATGTCGTTATATTTTATATGTATATAGGAATTTGCAATAGTCATGTTTGGTGTGTCAATCTAAACATTTATCTGTTGGGTATTTCTACGCGCTTTCTCGCTCGTCCCCGGAATCTGCCACATTCTATCTATCTATCTATCTATCTATCTATCTATCTATCTATCTATCTATCTATCTATCTATCTGTCTGTCTGTTCATATCATCTATCTATCTATCTATCTATCTATCTATCTATCTATCTATCTATCTGTTTATCTCTGTTTATCTATCTATCTATCTATCTATCTATCTATCTCAGTCTGTTCATATCTATCTATCTATCTATCTATCTATCTATCTCAGTCTATATCTATCTATCTATCTATCTATCTCATCTGTTCATTATCTATCTATCTATCTATCTATCTATCTATCTATCTATCTATCTATCTCATCTTTTATCTCAGTCTGTTCTATCTATCTATCTATCTATCTATCTATCTCATCTGTTCATTTTCTATGCCACTGTCTAATTAGCTATCTATTTATTTATCTATTTCTTTCTTTCTTTCTTTCTTTCTTTCTTTCTTCTTTCTTTCTCATCTTCATTATCTATCTATCTATCTATCTATCTATCTTCTATCTATCTATCTATCTATCTATTTTCATTTTATCTATGTATTTATGCATGTATGTATGTATGTATGTATGTATGTATGTATGTATGTATGTATCTATCTATCATCTATCTATCTATCTATATACTTATCTATTTATTTATCTATCTATCTCAGTCACTTCATTATTTATCTATCCATCTATCTATCGCGATCTTAGTCCTTCCAGTGTTTATCATAATCAATGACTAATCAATAATCGGTCAATCATTACAACAGTTCCTTATTTCCCTCCTTCCCTCTCTCTCTCCCTCCCTTCCTTCCTTCCTTCCTTCCTTCGATTATTTTCACCCTTTTTTCTTAACTCTCACCGACAGACGTACGTAGAATTAAAACCTCGAAAATGTCTATCGAAACACAGCGAATGTCACGCATCCGTTTCAGGCAGACACTCATACTTGTTGATCGTAACCCACCCCACAGCTCCCCACCCACGATGCTAGCAGGCGAAGTTAGGGAGGGGGGTGGGGGTTGGCGTCTATCAGATCAATAACATCGAATATTTCTCTTAATCATGTATTCAGTTTGTTGGTTTGGAAAGGTGCTTGTCACGGGAAGTGAAATTCAATAAGAGTTGACGTCAATTATCAGCATTGTTTTAAATATTCTAGACCTTATTTAATTGTGGCCAGAGTTGAAAATAGTCGTGCAAGGGGTCGACTGACACCGATTCTCCTAAACATTTTTATTATTACTGATATTTCCACGATTTACATTGTTTGGAGTGTTATCCTTATCTTTATTGCCATATTCACGACGTTTCGGCCGCTCTCCGCTCCGGCCTTCTTCAGAACTTGTCTATGTTTCAGAGATGAGGTATTTTGGCTATTTACTCTATGTATATCATTCCACATCTTTATTTTCATTTTCACGGCGTTTCGGCCATTGTACGCTCCGACCTTCTTCAGAATTTGTCTATATTTCTGAGATGAGGTATTGTAACTATTTACACGATTTACATTGTTCGGACTGTTGTCCTCATCATTATTGTCCTATTCACGACGTTTCGGTCGCTTTCCGCTCCGGCCTTCTTCAGAATTTGTTTATATTTCTGAGATGAGATATTGTAACTATTTACACTATTTACATCATTGCTTATCATTATTTTCATATTCATGACGTTTCGGCTGTTGTACGCTCAGGCCTTCTTCAGAACTTGTCTATATTTCTGAGATGAGGTATTGAAACTATTTACATGATTTACATTGTTCGTACTGTTGTCCTCACCATATTCACGACGTTTTTCCCAATGGATAAAAGCATTGGCTGATTGATCTAAATGTGAATAGACCCCAAAAGTTGTGAGTTCAATACCTGGCGAGAGCAGAGGGAACAAAACACATTAACGACATTTCGGCCTTTGGGATCTCCGGACTTCTTCAGTTGACATTTTTTTAAAAATTTTGAACTGAATCCTTTATTTAACTTATCAAGGCGAATTAATCGAAAGCCGTTGTACGTGATATTAGAAAATTCTATAAATAAATATGCAGCAAAAATTACTTCCAATATTTACATTATAATATAACTTCATTGCCATATTCACAACATTTCAACCGTTGTATGCACCGGCCTTCTTTGAGTCATATTTGGAATTTCGAACCAGATCGTTTATTTAGTCCACCGGCTTCGATTGTTCTAGTTCCACGTGCCATGCCTTTGTATATTTCAGTTTTAGTTAATTCCCCTTGATAAATTAACGCTTTAAGTTTTTGTTCTCAGGGATTGAACTCAGAACTCTTTGGGCTAAATCACTTCTGGATCAATCAACCAACGCTTTTATCTATTAAATTATATGTCCTTGTGATCAGTAAATAATGTAAATAGTTACAATACCTCTTCTAAGAACTATAGATACAGAATGTCCTCGGGTTACGTCGGACCCGACATACGGCGTTTCGTGGTTACGGCTCCATCTACCATAATATAGTACGTCGTCACACGGTGCTGTATGAGGAAGAGGCGTTTGTTACTTCAACGGCTGTAGGCCATATTGGATTATGCTACATAATTTCGTTTGTGTCGATTTTTTTTTTTTTTGTTAGGGGGGAACTTTTTGCTCTTCATTATGGCTCCCAACTGTAAGGCGGACTTGTGGTTGCTTATGTAGTTGAGTTCCGGCCTACGTCGGAAATCAGATTACGTCACGCTGTAGGAACAGATCCCCTACGTAAGTCGAGGAGTTCCTGTGTATGTAACTGGTGGCCATAATGAATTGACCTGCATACTTTCGTTTGTGTCGTTTCTTTTGGGTGGACTTTTTGCTTTTCATTATGGCTCCCCACCGTAAGACAGACTTGTGCGTGCTTATGTAGTTGAGTTCAAAATACAATACTCGCCAGCAGCGTGGACTGATATTACATAACAGTTCAGTACTCTTTTCTTTGTTTCTCTTGCTTCAAGTCTTTTCTTCATCTGTGAGGAGATTGTCCAGCATTCACTGCCATATAGGAGGACTGATATTACATAACAGTTCAGTACTCTTTTCTTTGTTTCTCTTGCTTCAAATCTCTTCTTCATCTGTGAGAAGATTGTCCATCATTCACTGCCATATAGGAGGACTGATATTACATAACAGTTCAGTACTCTTTTTTTTGTTTCTCTTGCTTCAAATCTCTTCTTCATATGTGAGGAGATTGTCCAGCATTCACTGCCATATAGGAGGACTGATATTACATAACAGTCCAGTAGTCTTTTCTTTGTTTCTCTTGCTTCATGTCTCTTCTTCATCTGTGAGGAGATTGTCCAGCATTCACTGCCATATAGGAGGACTGATATTACATAACAGTTCAGTACTCTTTTCTTTGTTTCTCTTGCTTCAAGTCTCTTCTTCATCTGTGAGGAGATTGTCCATCATTCACTGCCATATAGGAGGACTGATATTACATAACAGTTCAGTACTCTTTTCTTTGTTTCTCTTGCTTCAAGTCTCTTCTTCCTCTGTGAGGAGATTGTCCAGCATTCACTGCCATATAGGAGGACAGATATTACATAACAGTTCAGTACTCTTTTCTTTGTTTCTCTTGCTTCAAGTCTCTTCTTCCTCTGTGAGGAGATTGTCCAGCATTCACTGTCATATAGGAGGACTGATATTACATAACAGTTTAGTACTCTTTTCTTTGTTTCTCTTGCTTCAAATCTCTTCTCCATCTGTGAAGAGATTGTCCATCATTCACTGCCATATAGGAGGACTGATATTACATAACAGTTCAGTACTCTTTTCTTTGTTTCTCTTGCTTCAAGTCTCTTCTCCATCTGTGAGGAGATTGTCCAGCATTCACTGCCATATAGAAGGACTGATATTACATAACAGTTCAGTACTCTTTTCTTTGTTTCTCTTGCTTCAAGTCTCTTCTCCATCTGTGAGGAGATTGTCCAGTATTCACTGCCATATAGAAGGACTGATATTACATAACAGTTCAGTACGCTTTTCTTTGTTTCTCTTGCTTCAAATCTCTTCTTCATCTGTGAGGAGATTGTCCAGTATTCACTGCCATATAGGAGGACTGATATTACATAACAGTTCAGTACGCTTTTCTTTGTTTCTCTTGCTTCAAATCTCTTCTTCATATGTGAGGAGATTGTCCAGCATTCACTGCCATATAGGAGGACTGATATTACGTAACAGTTCAGTACTCTTTTCTTTGTTTCTCTTGCTTCAAGTCTCTTCTCCATCTGTGGGGAGATTGTCCAGTATTCACTGCCATATAGGAGGACTGATATTACATAACAGTTCAGTACGCTTTTCTTTGTTTCTCTTGCTTCAAATCTCTTCTTCATCTGTGAGGAGATTGTCCAGTATTCACTGCCATATAGGAGGACTGATATTACATAACAGTTCAGTACTCTTTTCTTTGTTTCTCTTGCTTCAAGTCTCTTCTTCATCTGTGAGGAGATTGTCCAGTATTCACTGCCATATAGGAGGACTGATATTACACCAACAGTTCAGTACTTTTTTCTTTGTTTCTCTCGCTTCAAATCTCTTCTTCATCTGTGAGGAGATTGTCCAGCATTCAGTGCAATATAGGAGGACTGATATTACATAACAGTCCCGTACTCTTTTCTTTGATTCTCTTGCTTCTAGTCTCTTCTCCATCTGTGAGGAGATTGTCCAGCATTCACTGCCATATAGAAGGACTGATATTACATAACAGTTCAGTACTCTTTTCTTTGTTTCTCTTGCTTCAAGTCTCTTCTCCATCTGTGAGGAGATTGTCCAGCATTCACTGCCATATAGGAGGACTGATATTACATAACAGTTCAGTACTCTTTTCTTTGTTTCTCTTGCTTCAAGTCTCTTCTTCATCTGTGAGAAGATTGTCCATCATTCACTGCCATATAGGAGGACTGATATTACATAACAGTTCAGTACTCTTTTCTTTGTTTCTCTTGCTTCAAGTCTCTTCTCCATCTGTGAGGAGATTGTCCAGTATTCACTGCCATATAGGAGGACTGATATTACATAACAGTTCAGTACGCTTTTCTTTGTTTCTCTTGCTTCAAATCTCTTCTTCATATGTGAGGAGATTGTCCAGCATTCACTGCCATATAAGGACTGATATTACATAACAGTTCAGTACTCTTTTCTTTGTTTCTCTTGCTTCAAGTCTTCTCCATCTGTGAGGAGATTGTCCAGTATTCACTGCCATATAGGATGACTGATATTACATAACAGTTCAGTACTCTTTTCTTTGTTTCTCTTGCTTCAAATCTCTTCTTCATATGTGAGGAGATTGTCCATCATTCACTGCCATATAGAAGGACTGATATTACATAACAGTTCAGTACTCTTTTCTTTGTTTCTCTTGCTTCAAGTCTCTTCTCCATCTGTGAGGAGATTGTCCATCATTCACTGCCATATAGGAGGACTGATATTACATAACAGTTCAGTACTCTTTTCTTTGTTTCTCTTGCTTCAAGTCTCTTCTCCATCTGTGAGGAGATTGTCCAGTATTCACTGCCATATAGGAGGACTGATATTACATAACAGTTCAGTACGCTTTTCTTTGTTTCTCTTGCTTCAAATCTCTTCTTCATATGTGAGGAGATTGTCCAGCATTCACTGCCATATAGGAGGACTGATATTACATAACAGTTCAGTACTCTTTTCTTTGTTTCTCTTGCTTCAAGTCTCTTCTCCATCTGTGAGGAGATTGTCCAGCATTCACTGCCATATAGAAGGACTGATATTACATAACAGTTCAGTACTCTTTTCTTTGTTTCTCTTGCTTCATGTCTCTTCTTCATCTGTGAGGGAGATTGTCCAGCATTCACTGCCATATAGGGGACTGATATTACATAACAGTTCAGTACTCTTTTCTTTGTTTCTCTTGCTTCCAAGTCTCTTCTTCATCTTTGGGGAGATTGTCCAGCATTCACTGCCATATAGGAGGACTTATATTACATAACAGTTCAGTACTCTTTTCTTTGTTTCTCTTGCTTC